AAGCCAAGTGTGGTGGCTCATGCCTGTAACTCCAGCTACTCAGGAGGCTGAAGCAGGAGGATCATTTGAGTCCAGGAGTTTGAAACCAGCCTGAGCAACATGTTCAGACCCCATTTCAAAAAAACAGGAAAAGAGGAAGAAAAGAAATCAATACTCAGACTATAATGGAGGTAAATAACCGAAGAATGGGCACGGTGGCTCACGCCTGTAATCTCAGCACTTTGGGAGGCCGAGGCAGGCAGATCACTTGAGGTCAGGAGTTTGAAACCAGCCTGGCCAAAATGGTGATGCCACATCTCTACTAAAAATACAAATCAATCAGCCAGGCATGGTGGTACGCATCTGTAATCCCAATTACTTGGGAGACTGAGGCACGAGAATTGCTTGAACCTGAGAGGTGGAGGTAGCAGTGAGCTAAGATCACACTACTGCACGCCATCCTGGGTAACAGAGCAAGGCTCCATCCCAAAAAATTAAAATAAAAATTGCTGAAATGTAGAATGTGTTGGATTGAGGAAGGATGAGAACAGAGGAAGTGATTTGTGAAGAGGTGGAACAAAGGACTGCTTAACGTAAAATGTTTAGGCCCATTTGGTATTTTTAAACCATACGCACACAGCACTTTGATAAAATAATGAAGTGAAATGGCTGGATCCACCCACAAAAATCCAGAGTAGTTCTGACCCTCAGTCTCAATGTTCATCAGACTCCTCTCCCCAGTAACCACATAGGGTGCCTCACCCTTGCTAAAGTGAAAGTGGATTTCTTCTCCTGCCCTAGGCTTTCTTAGGGATACTGGAGTCTCTGTCTCCGACAAGGGTAGGTCGTAGAATTTGTACTCCACGTACACCTGCTTTACATTCTCATCAGACATCACTTCTGCCTCTGGGTAGAAGGTCAGGGAGACAATTTCAATGCACATCTTCTCTGAACCCTGATAAGGAAAATATGTGTTTAGTTCCTAAAGGTTAGTGAGGCTCCAAGTGCCTACTCTCCATCCAATTAACACATTACAGTACTTTCTAGAAATCAACCATAGGAGTAATCTGTCTACTATATTATTCCCCGAGAATCATTTTATAGGTAAAACTGGCATCAAACGACTGTATTGGCATAGCTAATAGATAGGAAATTTATAAAGGGAACCCAGCTCTTCTCCCAGCTCAGTGCATCATTTCTCCAGGCCAGCCTTCTTCAGTCATCTCCACATATAAAATGAATTTAGGCCGGGCACGGTGGCTCATGCCTGTAATCCCAGCACTTTGGGAGGCCGAGGCGGGTGGATCACGAGGTCAAGAGATCGAGACCATCCTGGTCAACACGGTGAAACCCCG